TGCCCTGTTGGCCCCTCGGCTCTGGATCCAGCCCAGGGTACGGTTGGCAATTCTCTCTCTATACACTCTCTTATTCACGCAATCGCCGAGGTATTTATGTATGAGGCATCGTACTTACTACTAATGTCAGGGCTTTCCTTCCTTGTCTACTCACAGGACAATGGTGCTGGGCAGCTTAAAACTGTACTGGCATGGGCTTCCCTACCTCCCTTGCTCTTGCTTCTCCATGTTCCTACACAGAAACCAGAGCCCTTTTCCTGTGAGGCACTGAGCTCTGAGAAGGGGCACCCTGGGGCTATGGAAGTTGATTCTCTCAGCCACAGTTTCTCCAGTTAATTCGGTACAGTGGGATGAATGTACAGCCTGACTTGCCCTCAAAGACAGTGTCCATACCCAGCTGTATTACACACTTCGTGCTGTGGCTGCTACACTAACCTCATTGTGATAGAGTTGCCCATGCAGGTCTGATAAAACACCTCATACAGAAGGAAGCCAGGAGCTTGGCATGGAATTCTAAGACATTAAAATATTTCTAAATACAGCTTGTGCAATTTTAAGTTCTGCTTAAGCACCAGCTAAGTGAAACCCACTTTTTACAGGCTATTTTTCCCAGCTTACACCCAGCATGTGTCACTTGATTCAGGTCTTTCTTAGATACATTGCACTCTAGTGACAATAAGATCCTGAACAAATCTTGAGAAGGTAAGGTCAGGAGGCTGCTGTTAGTAATAAAACATAGTGTAAGAGAAAAAAGGGGTGGGAAAAAAGCCATTATAAACAAAAATGGGGCATGTGAAAAGAAAACAAAAACGTCGAAGCAGGTAAGTAAAGCCTGTTGACAGAGTTGAAGCTTTGAGTGTAAGCCTCATAGTAACGAAGTAATCAGATGTTTACCAAACGGGATGGGAATGATGGAGTCTAATCTTGGTCTAAGTTTAGGTCCTAATCCTCTAATTAAGAACTATCCAAGGCCACCCCTTAAATACAAATTTGGCACCTTTACAATATCTGCTATTCACTGGCAGAGACTTGATCTTTATCAGTTTTCTGTGTGACATCACAGGACACTAACTGGCACTGCAACTGAGGTGGTCACCACAGAGCAGTAACTCTTGAATCTGAAAATTCAGTATCAAGGACATCAACGATTATGAGCACAAGCAGATGAATGTTTATGATTAATCTGTCTATGGACTAGATTAAACATACCTGTTCACACTCCATTACAGCCCATCTTCTTAAACCTCTTAGTTCTGGAACCATGATATCTTTAAGGAGCGTTTAACATGGCCAACACAGACCTGAATGTCTTACCTGTAAGTGAATCACTGAGGTATATCTTGTATCTCAAAGAATTACACAGCTGCACACCTACGAACTTCTTATACCAAGTCCTCTTTACGTATTGTTTCCCTTTGCATTCTGAATAGGTGTCCGAATTGAACGGGATTTCAGTCCAGATAGCATCCTTTCCCACTGCAGGAGAGGAAGAAAGAAGCTGAAGTATGATGCTACATAACAAATTATGTACAACAAAGATATTCAAATCAATAGATTTAGAAAACTTGATGTAGCGGAATGCACCACAGCACCAGTCAGCTGCATTCTGAACATGAGAGAGGAAGCACCCGAGGGTGCAGATGTGACTGATGCAGTAACCTGCTGCTGTGCTTTGTGTGTGGCGTCAGTTTGGAATAAACTCATTCTAGGACCCTGCTCGGGGGACGATGGCTGCGTGCTGGCAAAACTCATTTACAAATTGTGTGATGCAGTCACTGTTTTTCAGTGGGTTCAAGCCAGGACAGTCAACTTGCAGCAAATGGTATGTGATTAAAAAAACCTGACCAAAAACCCATAAAAATCAAGTGTCATGAATCATGTGGAAAGAAATGGTGTCTCAGTCTTCGTCAAACTGATGCCCATTACAAATGTGAAAAGCAGCCCAATACGCTTGAGCAACCTTAGCTGTTCTTCAAAAGCTCAGTCCGTCTCCCACCAAAGACAGTAGGTGGCCTAAAGCATAGCTGGATCAAGCCTCCAGAAGCAGAAAAGTCTTCTAGAACACAATGGCAGATAAATAGTATCCTCTGAGTTGTGCTCTGCTAACTCACTTAAAAAGTGTGAAGTAGGTTATTCATTTTACAGAGCTTTCTTTTGCTTTAGTGACAAGGCTGAGAAAATATGAGGCTGTCCTTGGCTCATTTGTGTACGTTGGTTTGAAGCCATCCCAGCTGCCATGGGAGCACCACATCACATCGATTGCGTTCCGCTCAGGTAAACAAGCAGCCTGGCATGAATTCCTTAGCAGAGGGTGAGGGTGGAGGGAGTGAAATCATGTGTGAATGATGTTTGGTTCCATAACTCATTTAACTGGCACAAACAGCCACCCCCCTCGTGCAATTACGTTATCTCATTTCTGAAAATAATGTTGATCAGAAGACACCATACTATACGTATCAGGCTTACTTGAAATGGGCTCGCTCACTCTTGGGTCCGCTGGGGAGAGAAACAAAATTCTATCAGACACTGTAAAATGAACTTTCCCAATATTTCAATGGAAAAGCATTGGTAAGTGATTTTCTACAGTTGACATAAGCTGTAATTCGTGAAATAGAAAGAGTTTTGGAAGCAAAGTTCACTTTTGTATTAAATTAAATGAAAATAAATAAATTTATTATGTGAACCTACAGTATGAATGAGTTTTAAAAAATTTTACTTATGGAAAAACATCAGTCAAGCACAGTTCTAGTAAAACAAGATATTAAACCTGTAACCAGCAAAACCGAGTTCTATTGCATCCTTTTTAAAATTACAATTTCAAAGCCTACTTAATAAAAAGGACCTCTCTGTCATGCTGACTGCACAAAACTTGGCTATGAAAGCCCAAAAGCAAGAAATGGATGTGTGCAATTAAGCAAAAATAAAACTGACAGCTTAATTTGTCCAAGCTAAATAGGAGACACAACATAAGCCTTGTCATTCATGAAAACTTCACTTGGCACAAAGGTTTTTTTCAGTTTTAATAATCTAGGATTACAAAGAGTGTATTCACAGTTTTCAAATGTGTGGCATAGTCTGGACTCCTCCCTGACTAATCCTGTGCTCAGCCAAAACCCTCATCCGTCAGTGACAGCAGTAGAGGAGGACTATTATGTTATTACACCTGGCTCAGAGCGCAGATTGAGAAAGTCCTTTTAGAGCGGCTAACTCCATTGTGTGTTTTATATGGTCCTTAAGTACTACCAAGCAATAAACGCTTCTACACAAAAGATGGTATCTTGCTTGTGTAAAGTTAACTGTCCTTATGCCAACAGGGATCTGCAACAGGGAAAGAAAAGGCACTCTCTGATTCTCACCTCGGAGATGGATAACACTTAACTTGGGAACCAACCCATGGTCCAAGTAATGCTGTGTACACCTCTTCAGCAGCTTCACAGGAGAGTAAACAGGATGGAAGAGGACACAGTGGGAGACTGACTTTTCCCAACTGCTGTTTCTCAATCCTCATTTCAGCCAAAAGGCATCACTGTTACACAGCAGCCTTATTGACCAGGCAGCAGGAGTGCCTATAAGCAGGCCAGCCCAAAGAACCACCTTATGTTCCCCCCCCTAAGTCATTAATGAGCTTGATAGACACAAAAAGGTCAGGGATATTAATCTTAATGACTGAGCCTTCCCTAGGGATAAAGTTAGTTCCTTTGTAACGAACATCAGACAAACTCTCTGTGCTCCTGTTTTTCCTTCCTGCAGCCTGGCCATCTTACAACCTCTGACAACACAGCCCTGAGCTCCGGCTGACCCTCCGGCACTACCGTAACTTGCTTCGCAGTTAAAAGCCGATCCGGAGAGACTAAAGTGCAAGAGCAGACGTGCAAACGGAGCAAGAGAGCCTTTCCTATACCCCACAGACATGGACACTAAAGACACTGCAAACTATGGTCATCCTTGGGAAGCTCTTACCTGATTCAGTGCTGAATGCCACAACGTTGCTACTTGGACCTTCACCAAGAGGGTTTCTTGGTTTCACGTGGAATTCGTAACTGGGGAATAAAACAGAAGAGATGAAAATGAAGGCTTTCGGAGTCTGGAGCACGCAAAATGCCAACACACACCTCAGTGCTCCTCGCCTCCTGGAGAAGTCGCGGAGAGGCCTCCTTTCTTAATCTGAAAACGCTGAGATATTCTTTGTCCTAACTGTGTGAGGCCTCTCTGAACGCATAATTTGCCAGTCCTTTTGATATCCTTTGCACACATACTGTTAATTGATTGGATTTAACGCACTGCAGCTTTAAGCCTGTCCCCTCTCACACAGGCAGTTTCAGCTCTCGCAAAGGGAGCGTTCAGGCGAGGTCAGAAGAATCTGCTAAGCAGAGACTGAGTAAAGCACACTGCTCTTTATTAGCACGTGTTTCATCCCTAAGAACACAAATCTCCAATTCAAGGCCTCCCAGGCCCACCAACAGCAGCAGACATGGCCTATGGTGAGACAGGCCATGTCTTCCCAGAGAGGAACTCGGCTAAGGAAAAGATCCAAATGTTTAAATGTATGGTAATAGTACATACATGAAGTAATGAAAAGTTTGTGCGGCGTCTCTTTCTCCTCACGTAATATCACACAACTCCAGGCTGTGCTGGAGGTTATCTCATGATCTCTTTTCATCACAGCTGTGCTGGGAACCAGTGTTATGAAAATGGAACAAGACTCAAGAACAAAATCCAAGTCAGACTTCTCTGCTTACGCCTCTCCTACCCCTCAGTACCTAATTAATGGTGATGGACAGACAAGACAAGGTGGTTTCTAACTCTGCAGCTCATCTGAAACTTACACTTTCAATTAGAAGCTCGAGGTATAAATAGCTGTGGAAAGAGGGCTGCAGATCTGAAAACCTTACACAGAAGACACCAGAGAGATGAGGCAGGAAAGAGAGGTACAGGGGCAGACAGTGGACACAGCTAACATCTTTCATCGGGACAGAGCTAGGAACAGAGTCCATATTTCCTTCCTCCCAGCACATACTATCCCAGCAAGATGCTTCTCAGCCCTCCCGGCCCCAGGTTGGCAGCTCCTGGGAGCTGCTCACGGCTCAGCAGCGGCTCAGTGCCTCCCGGCAGGACCTGCATGCCCTCCACGCCAAAGCACCCTGACGAGCAGCATGCACGCACCCATCAGCAGCACCCCCTGTGTGCCTTCCCCGTGAGCCGTAACAATAATCCGTCCCACGCATCCCACCTACGGACAGACTTTGCGCCTGCTCTGAGCGCGTACAGGAGCACTCTTTTTTAACACGGAGTGTTTTTTCGTCAGTGACAGAGATCCGTAGGGCACCAGTCAAAAGGACTGTAGGCCTGGAAAATGGGCCCTACCTTAGAGAGAAAGCACAGAGCAAAATGAAAATCCCAGAAACGGGCAACGGAACATCCAGCTCTTGGCTCGTGGAGAATCGCTTACCGATGATAACTTGGTAGCTCATGACTATAACAGAGAATTTACTGTATGGCTGAAATTGGTTCCTAACAGCAATTTTCTAAAGAAAAAAGACCTTACCACTCTGCACAGTTGGAAATTCGTGAACTCCGTTTGCAAGTCCCTACAAGAGACAGAATAACTCGATCCAAACTTTGGATTACCTCTCATTGCGTCTTGGCTCCTGCAAAACCCGAACAGCTCCCTAATTAACCTCAGCAGGCTAATCATGCAGTACCAAGCAACTGTTTTCCATCCACAGTAATTCTAAGACAATATTTAACTTTGAAATTGCTTACATAAGCAATTGCCTTTATTTCTAGGGTTTTCTTTTCTTTCTTAAGAGAAATACTTACAAAGAATGGTATGCTGAACAGATGCATCGTGGATAATTTGTGAACATTTCTAAGTGAAACATGGGCTTTTTTTGAGCTTTAAAATATCTATTTGGAGTGATCTTAACATTTATTCAAACATGCCCAAGACCATTGTGAGAAACCCATATTACCCTACTGTAGGAAGAAGACATGAAATAAATAATAAATTGAATAGTAAGTTCTAGACACAAAATTGTTCTCATGATCAACTTCAAAATATTTAAACAAATACATGCTTTTAAAACTTGGATCTAAGCAGTTAATATTCATATTGGACATGTGGCACAGTAACTTTTGCAGTCAAGAATTACTCTCATCTAGTAGGAAAGGTCATTATCCAGGGAACTGTAGCAGAGCACCTGAAGATTCCTTCTGATGAACCACTGAGGCACAAATGAAGAGTTGTTAGTAAGTTGGGTGTTTTAAAGTAATGATCAGAAGACACATTTTGGACAATGTACAGATTAATGCATGCCTAGGGAAAAAAGACTCCAAAGAAGTTTTCTTGCTTCTTTTGCAGCAGGAACATATCACCGAGAGCTATTATTGTCATTTTTATCATTGACAGACCAACATGGCATGTTCTGTTGCTTTACTGGGACTTTATGGTTTGACGTTATGGATGATAATAATCTATTTACGTCTCTTTGTATTAAATCAAAAGGGAAGTATGACGACTACTGTCTAGGATTCCTGACCTAGAGTTTTCTGATTCTATAGGATTGGCTAGAAGGAAAGGACAAAAACTGAGCAGGTGAAATGCTCTTATGAAACTGGACTGGACAGGCACAGGGACTCAAAGGACGCAGGCATCTGAGCTAAAGATAAGGATCTACAGTCAACATATCTGGATCTCACCTGCATATAGAAGGGTCTCACAGATTTTGCAAGCTGGATTTACATGCCTCTGTCAGGCAGAAAGTCACAAGCTAGACAAGACAGTGGAGGATTTTGAAGCAAATTTTAGTATTTTGCTGATTTTTGTACAATTATCCTCAAGAGCTGATATGCCATACTTTGACTTGCATCAGGCAGTTCTGTTCCCAAAAAACTTAAATCCATGAATTTGGACACATCGATTCTCTAATTCCATAGAAAGATCAAAACAAGTACTGAAGACTAAACAAGCAGCATTTTTCAAATTGTGGTCTAGGGGCCACTGGGCTCTCTGCAAAAGATCAAACTGCACTTGGTAAAATTATGGCAAGACTGAAATAAAGAACTAAAATCTACACATAGAGATTTTAGATTATGTAAATACATAAACAAAATTGGAGAAAAGGGAAGTAATAAAGAAATGTCCAAAATTCAGCTTCTGTTGATAATATCACAGAGCAGATTTTTGAGACTACAATATATACAATTCTACAGTTTTGTGGTAGGTGTTTTTACAGGTGCCTAAGCATTACAGAGCCCTTTCCTCTGCTAAACTCAATGCTGAAGAAATAGCAATGTCTGCAAGAGTCCCAGAACAACCACCAGTGACTTTTGGAAATGAAGAAAAGCAACTAATTGACTGAAAACTGGAAGGGAGAGAAAGAAAAATTTAGCTTAAGCTCATGATTTGATAGAGTTTACAGATCTAACTGTAATTTTAAAGCTGTGCTATGGTTCTGAATAGAAAACCATTTAAAATCTCCCTTTTTATGTGTCAGGTGAAAGATGTGAAAATAAAAATAAAATGGGGAAAAAGGGTACCTGCTGCAATCATACTTTCATATAAACCACACGGGAGGGGAAAAACCTATTTAGACGTTCAAAAAGTATGTAGGGCAAAGTTAATAAAGGGAAATAAGACAGCTATATAATGACAATCCCATGTCTCTCTCTTAGCTATACTTATTCATCAGAAACAGGAGTCTATATTCCATCTTTATATCTGTGTGTCTGTGATGCCAGAAATTCTGCTACCCAATATATGCAGCGATCTAACATGTGCCACACCTCTAACATCTATATGATTGCTATCCCACAGACTTCGGAGACTAGGCCTCCCAAATCCTCCCAAAATGCACAAGACAATCAAAGTCCTTGTTCAGATTAAATGGACTTGACTTACAGTAATTACTGTGCAGAGCGTATTTTTCCACCATGGGAAATCGCTATCCCACATGGAACTTTGGCAGACACAGCTGCTCCTGCATTTTTCAAATCATGCAGAAGGAGAAGGTTGGAGATGGCAGGACTGAAAACAAGTGAGGATAGATTTTCACCATAACAGGATGACTGGAGCAACTGAGTACAGTCCTGGGACCTGGGGTCAATTGCTGGGGAGATGCTGGAGGTTAGATGACAATCATGCAGGACTGTCTCAACACACAGAGCTTCTCTGACTCTGCAGAGTGTGCTTGGATGGTATTATCAGCAGATATAGAAAATAGAACTAGGTTTAAGAGGAAAAAAAAAAAAAGTACTGGGTTTGTTTGAGGAATCTTTCTCCTAATCAAGCTCAAAGAAGGGCCAAGAGAAATGGGAAATGCTTACCTATGAACCCTGACATCAACAGCAATTTAGTAAAATAATCTGTTACTTTTGTAATATAAAGTACAAAAAACTCCAGCGTTTTTCTGTCACTTTCTGCATGTTTCTGCTTTGCAACTTTCACTGTAGTTCTCATCTCTTGAACCCTGCTGTTAACAAAAGCTAAGCTCTTTGCATCGGTAGATTTGTTTTATTTTATGTGGTAAGCACATTTTGGGTGCTAACTGCAACACAAACCAATACTAGATAATGGTAATAACAGCACGTGCTGTTCATGAGGTATGAATTACTGTGTATAAGTGCACAAAAAGCTTATTCAGTAGAGGGCTGAAGACTGAGTAAGGCTTTTGAGTAAATTACAGTAACATTCTCTCTTTTTGTTTCATACTTTTGTAAGACATGAAAAAACTTTTGGAGGAAATCATCTACACACATTATAAAACTGTTTGGCATGTGCATATACCCACACATTTAATGTTTACTTTACAGTTTTGGCTAGTTGGTTGGTTGAGGTTTTTGTTTTTTTTGGGGGGGCCTTCATATTATTATTTTTTTTTTTTTTTACAACTCCTGTTATTTATATTCCTCATGGCTGCAAATATACTTTGCCTTGGGATCCAAATCTACCCAAAAGTCCAAAAGAGACTGCTCAAAGTTTATTTTAAAAGGAGAAATTATATTTGAAATCACCAAACTACTTAACCAGGCAAAGGATCAGTGCCTAAAGGAAAGTTTTACAAAGCTATGGAATGCAAACATCAACGACTTTTTGGTTTTTATTAATACTTTTTTCCTATCAAGAATCTATACCAGCAGGCTGGTGAGACACATCCTCTACATGGATGGCTACCTGAATTTCCCCAGAGTTCTTTGGCACATCTCTGATTACACTGTTAATACTTTTCTTTACAACCTTCCAGTTAGTGCCAATACAAACATGCATGAGAACTGTTTTCAACAATATTCGGACTCTTTTTTGAAGGCTTGTATAGAAATCAGTGCTGCAAAGTTTCCTGGACACTAGTGGTATGTTCTATGAACTTAATTGCCCTTAAACAAACCACCAGAATGAAAGAGGAAATGTACACCTAATAAAAAAAAAAATATATTTCAAGATAGGGCAGGGATGCAGAAATGAGAACTAGATATTTTGGCAGAGAAACCAACAGAAATAGCAGGAGAAGTCAAAATGATACTATATCAGATGACTGGAAGACTTAAATAAATAAATCAATTTTAAGGAGTTAGAAAACTCCAGAACTAGTAAAAAAAAAACCCCAAACCAACCCTAAAATTCCTTTGGAAATGGGAAAATAGAATTTGAAGCAAAAAAATAACAACATCTGCATTTAATATTCTGGGCTAGGAAAGGTCCATGTAAAAACTCCAGGTCAGTGAAACTGATTTTAACGAAGGAGAAGATGCAGATGAACACCATCATTACTCCACAGGAGACAGAATGACCAAAACAAACCCCACAGGAAGCCCGTTTCTGTCTCAGGCCTCTCGAGGTTTATTACAAACAAGCACCTCTGGGAGGGAAGTACTGAAAGTTGTGGATAGTGACCTTACCTTGACTCACACATGGGGATCTTGCTTGTCTGTTATCACAGGAGAAGTAATGGCAATGCTTTTTTTTGAAGGGCAGCTTTTAATGTAAAACTAAGAAAGGATAAACACCAGAGTCCTGTCCAGGAGTTCCAGTGTGAGCAGCTTCAGACAGAAATTAAAAACAAGGGACCTGTGTGACAGGTTAGATGGAATATTACAGGTCTCGCTCCTCAAATGACTGCTTGGGAGCTTGAGTCTTGCAGTTTGGCTTTTACTGTTTTCCAAGCAGAATAAATGGAACTTTTCTGAAAAAAACTGTGGCAGTTTTCTCCGTATAGAAATTGCAGAATTTCCATGTGGAGGATGAAAAATTAAATTGACAGATTAGGTCATACTAGCGCATCCCTTTCATTTTTTTTCTTTGCTAAGAAATGAATGACATTTGCATAAACATACAAACCACCTTTGCCTGCATTAAAGAAAATGGGTGAAGTTGAGATTTACAAGATCAGAAACTACCTCATAAGACACAATCATACAATAAATTAGGTTGTAACCAACCTATGAAGGTCATCTTGTCCAGGCCCCTTTCCATGACAGGGATGACTTAAAAGCTATGTGGGGTTGCTCAGGGTGGATCAAGAAGCACCATAGCTGCAGACACTCACTGCTTGGACAACAGAGTGAAAAGTGGTTAGGTCAGTACTTGGTTCAGGCTGACTAGAAGGAGTAAGCCTGAACGTAGTTTGGTTATTTCACTCATTTAACAAGTGAAGGACTAACTGAAGGATAAAGGCAGCAAGAACTACAGAAAATCTGATGTGTGTGATACTGAAAAGAGGGCCGAGTGAAATGTGACTGAGATTTACTCTAAAATCCTTGGAAATAATGCAAAGGGTAACAACATCTAACTGCAGTACAAAGTTATAATCAACAGCTGTGTATGTGTGATTACTAGATCACAGAAGCACATCTATAATAGAAATATTTAAGCAGAAGACATTCGTTGAACAAGAGAAAGTTTCCTCAGGCACCAGTTATATCCAATTATCTGTCTGTATAAGAAGGATACATATAGCGTGCATACCATAACCATACTACATGCTTTGGGAGACTTCAGGTAAAAGTTACAACCAAGAGCAAATTATCTGAGGAAATTAAACAGAATTCTAGATTGGACCCAGACAGCAGCTTAGTGCCAGGAAGAGTAGCTGGTTCAAGAACTCTGACCAATGAAATAACAGGTATCAAGATTTGAACTTCCCAGGTTATTTATTCTCTCAGAGGTTTTCTAAGATGTGGTCGTGAAATACTGCAATCACCGTATCTGGCAATTTTCCAGGTGAAAAAGAGGCCAACGTACTCATCCTATAAGGAAAAATCCTTTAAATGAATATGATGTCAACTGTCAGGCATGCCTTACTGTGAGAGAATGGAATAGATATGATGTGCCTTTTCTTGAACAAAACCCAGGGATCTTAGAGCTCCAACAACATCACACTGTGCAGAAGCCTTTAGATTTTTTTTTTAAATCAAGCAGTTTTGTTGGAAAGCAGCTGACTGTGCCTCACATTTATTTAAAAGGTGTTCTTACCGTTAGAGTTTCAAGTCACTATTTTACTCTCACCTCAGAGTCTCGACGTCTTGCAATCAAGTCAGCAAGGACACATAAAGCTGGCACATATATTGCAAGATAAACAAGAGATATGACAAGCTGCCGTAATCTATACAACTTGATGTGTTTAAGAGTAGCCCTCACAAGTTGTTGCATGCCTATGAAAGTCCATTTTCATTTCTCTATTAGCATGGTATGGGCCTGTTAAAACCAAATACCTGATAACTCTACTGAAAGTCAGAACTCCTTTCCTTTTCAGCCAGCTAGATCTTTTTCTAGGTCTAGTAACTTTTCAGACAGCTAAACGGACACACAACATACTACATGACAATCCTCTGATTCAGAGAAATTTGTATCCCATTTAACTTCTATGTTTGTGCTTACTGACTGCTGCAGTCACTCATGCAATTTTTCATGAGACACGGTTAGAAGTCTCTCATTGCTGCCTCCCTAACACCGTCCAAATGTCTTAAAAATTCAGTCTGGCCATTAGCTCCTAATCTTTAAAAGCTGCCTTGTCAAGAGGCCAGCTCAAAGGAAGACGGGTGTCTGGCTTACTGCAGAGCTTCCCAGAGGTGTACAGTATGACCTATTTGAACAAAGAATGTGAAAGAGAAAAGCAAACAAACAGCATGATCTGGCAGGCTCCCATGCACCCAGTTTTTCCCTTGTTCTTCCCCCTTCACACTGAGGAGTTGTTTGTCCTGCTTCCCTCCTGCTGGATGTGGGCTATTAACTCTTTAGCTCCTGGGTCAGGCACTAACTTGTCCTATCTGATGTACCTCAGCAGGATGGTAGACCTTGGGCAACGTGACTGCAGACCGTCTTTGTCACGCACTGCTCCTCAAGAGCATACATCTGGGGAAACACCGGCTGCAACTGCCTTGCTGCTATAGGATCTTTTTGGTTTAAATTTACCCATGGAGACTGAGATACCACATTCACAAACATTTTTATTCCTTTTTGAACGTCTTTGTTGAGGTCTGTCTGGTTCAGATCCATCCTGAACCGCCTTCAGCTCTGGCTGTACTAAATATTCAGAGCAGCATATGGGATTCATACAGCCTCCCTGATGGCTTCAGGAAAGCTGGAAAAAATAGACTCTCAAATTCAGCTTGTCAGCTTCTCCAAAAGTATTTCAGGGCCAAGAGGTTCTTCTCCAGTTAATCCACCTTCTGCTACTGAACATCTCTCTTTCCATATACTTGCTGGTAGTTTTGTAAGCGTTCACCATTTGCAAGAGGGATTTCTTTTACTCTTCCAAGTTTCTTTTCCAGCTTCATCTCTTCTACAGCTCTTTCCTTTAAGGCTAGCTATGGAAAAGTCTGCTTCCCAGACTTAATCTATTGCCTGATGGATTTGCAGACATTTCAGGGACTCAATTAATTAATTGACCTGTGCTTCATTGTCCCTCTTGCCTCTATTTTCAGCCAGTTTTGTCCACAGGTCCATTTCCCTCGTCTAGTGAGCGATCAGCTTCCGACAGACAGGAGACTTTTACTATGGACATATGCCACCTCTTGCAACACTGATACTGTCTACCTTATGCCAGCTGTCTTAATCACTTTCTTATTTTCCCTAAATTTAGTGTGCCAACAAGCCTGGATTCAAATGGTAACAGTAACAATTTCTTGTGCTCCTGCCAAAGCTCTCAAGGCGTCCTCAGAATCAGGAAACACATTTTGAAATGGGACTTTAATCAAACAGAGCCACTCTGAGAAGGACTTGGCATCCTTTAAATCCTGTGGGACTTGAGGGACTTGCAGCACTGCAATTCATAGCACAGGTTTTCGATTTTGGGTGATGGCTTCCTGAATCCACAAAGACTTTCGCTGTCTTTCCCCTTTGAGGTTGGGGGTGGGGATAATAGTCACCACCCCATCAGGGAGAAGTTATCCCTTTATGTCTTAAGTCAACCTCCACCAGTCAATACTGATCCAAGAGCTAGCTGCTTGTAACAAAAGCCATGCTCCAAAAGACAGCTTTTTCCATGGTCTTCGGTTGGCTCTTGCTTACCAAAACCCGAAAGTCCTCTCAGAGGATTGACAGAATTACAAATTAAAGTTAATTATGTCAGTTGTGCTGAGCATCCTAACACCCCAGAGAGACACAACTGTACATATAAACCTTGATCTCATATATCAGATTTGGATTTCTTGAATTCACCTTAGTTTTTTATCTGCTAAATTCAAGGTTGTTTTTTTTTTTTAATATAAAAATCTATAAATTTTCTTACATTTGACTGTTAATCTTACTGGTAGGAACAAGTCATTTCTGCAGTATATCCAGGCAATGAATAACACTCTTGGAAATTTCCAGAAGATTTCTCTGATGTGTCTTAGCTATTATCTTAAAAGAAAGCAAAACCAAAGCATATCTCTTTCCTAGGAGTAAACCCAATTTGGTCTTATATACATATGTATTTTCATTTGAAGTGGCAGACAGCTGAGAGTCTAAATCAGTTGGATTAATTTAGCAAATCATTTTATTTAAATTACCTTGTGTCAGGCTTTAGGTTTTCCACAGTAGAATGGGTTTGATTTGTAGTGATAATCGATTTCTCCTTTTCACCATCACTTGCTCCATTTTCAGTTGACACAACCTCATACTCTGGAAAATTACAGTAAAGAGAAATTTTTCTTTAATAACAGCTCTTCATGGTGCTCTCTTTTCTCATCTGATTGCCATTCCTACTGTTTAATAGGACTTAAGTATATCTTGTGTGAATGGGTCTGGACATTTGTATGCTAAAATGGTTTGGAAAGAGAGGTCCAGTTCCAGATTGGTGACTGTCTAGCCCCTCATCCTTTCTCATAATTAAATTATGGGACAGAGCATACTCAATATCCCACCTCTGCCCAACGGTATGCTAGTGACATAATTCCAAACACAATTAAGTATAAGCATTCTGTAGTTTGAATGAAGAAGTATCAAAGATGAAAGTACAGTTTCTAAATACTTAAAACTTGATTAGCTTAAAATAAAATCTATTTTTTTAAGATTTCCAAGGAAAATGCCCAACTAATCTTGATTGTGCACTTAGGGAATCTGTCACTTTAGAATGAAATAGTTTTGCATAAATTTATTTCCGTATTTTTATGATTTATAGAGGCTCACTGGTTTCTTTTCATCTCTCTGGGATGTATCATCAAGCGCAAACCATACTCTGAGCAGGGAATTAACAACAGATGATTTGGAAGAAGATACCCCTTCAGTCATAGCTCTGTCCAAGATACAGTGTCTCTCTAGCAGGCAACCTCTGTCCCAGTTCATAACTCCCTCGTTTACTAGACACTCTGGACGTATTGCTAATTTTTCTCTCTTTGCAAAGAAATTCACAACACCCCCAGTCCCTTCCTTTTCCATTTTTAAAACCTGTCTAGAATACCATCTGCAGCTCTGTTAATTGTAAACTAGCAGAAAATGTTTAATGTTTTCAAAGAACACTTGCAATGAGCATTTAGATCTACAACACGATGAATAAAGCAGGTATTACACCATGAGGACAGAGATCACCTATCAACAGCTAGAAAACTATCCAAGAAAATGACTTTCTTTTCTGTTTTCTTCTAACAATACTATTAACTTCTGAGTTCTTAACTAAATGCTAGCAAGCTGTAGGACTTTTTTGCTATTTTTTTTTAGTTCTCAGTACAAAGAGACCCATTTGTTGTCAACGCAGAAAGATAAGACACCTGCAATGGGATTCAGTCTCAAAAAGGAATAAAACTCTCTTAATTGTTGCTGGACCCTCAGATCCTCAGTCCTTGTAAATGTAGGAGATGTGTATGTAAATGAGCATGCACACACAAATTGACCTAATTTTGACGTCAATTGTGTAACTATGGCTTTTTGCACTTTACTATGCAAAAAGTAGCCATCGAAACCACTGGGGTAAATTATGTAAGACAATGTAATTAAGTGGAAGTACAGAGCAGCCCTAAAAAATTATGCTCTAAAATTCCAAATCCACAGCAATTCAGTGTGAGAAATTATACACATGTATGCACCTGTGAATTTCAGGTTGTTTGCTGTAATGGTTTCAAAAGGGATGTCTACACAGTATCTTTTTATCTTCACCTTGTAATAGACTCAGTGATTTAGACTATATAGAGTGCAACATAGAACTTCAAAAGAGGTTTAAACATATGTCAGAAAGTCAGCATGAGGGAAGAATTACTGTTGATACTGAAGATTTCAAAATTTCCATGTTCAGAAGTCCTCCCCAACAACAGTCACCCATGAACAGCAAAAGACCAACCACTGCCTTTTAAAAACAAACTCATGGACCTGCAAGAATGGGTGGCTCAGAGTAGGGGTTGTGGGGGAGAGAAAAAATTATGCAACTTGAGGGCTTTTACTTTAGAGCATTTGTTCAAGTGGCACCCCAATGCAACAATCAAAGACATTAACACTGACGAGATGTATTTGTGTAAAACATTTCTGTGTTTTCTCTCTACACATTTCCTTTTTTGGAAACAAAGGCCTTTTCCTACATAGCCACCAAGGGCTGAGTGAACCATGGATTAAAAATGAACTCCCCAAAGCCTGTATTTGCCCTAATTAAGCCTCATTAATTATGCTTATTAGGAAGCATGGGAGAAGGGGTGGATATCCAGTGTCTTAGATACATTCAGATAGAGAATGAGTAGGTAACTACACAAATCCAATCTTTCTGCCTTCTGCCAGCCCAAAGTCAACATGATCTAATCTTTTAAATTCATTCAAGTTGGAAAAGACAACACATGCGAATGTGCGCACACATACACACGCAAGAACTACTGACCACATCCATGACCTGCTTGTTACTCAGTGCACAAGACAATAAACTGCCCTACATTTCTGTGGCAACACAACAGGAGTTGTGGAGCACCAGCAAAATGGTCTTAGTTCCTGACATTTGTAGCCTTTATGAAAACAAGGAGGTAAGTTCGATCACTGTTTTGCTTACTGGTTGTCAAACCTTTCCATTACTGAGGTGCAATTTTGTTTTTAGGAATACTAAATATGATGAAATACCTCATCCAGAGCTAAACGTCAAGACAAGTAACCTTTTCAAAAAATCAGCTCAACAAATTACATTTCTGTTTCCACAGTCTATCTGAAACAGTGCATTGAAAAACAAGATGTGATGGCTAAATCATATAATTGAAAAAACATGTAGAAACTACAAAAATAAAGGAGTTGACAGAAAACTTTATTTAAGTCTGTCTAAACAAGTAATATCATACTGATGCTAGTATGAAGTAATCACTGTTTTCAGAAAATGGGATTCAATGCCTTCTCTTGATTTCAGAAAGTGTCCTTGGATGAGTCATTAACAGTGTAATTTTTTGAAGTTAAGATGAAGGAGACAAGCTCAATGAGAGTAATTGTAAGCCATAGAGTTTAAACATTTTGTATTACGCACTGAAGTTAAAAGAAATGAAGATGGTATTTATCGGAAAGCTATTACATCTCAATAGGAAGATATCTAGATTGAAATCTAAAATTTTTCATCATGAAGCAAAGTGAGTATTAGTCACATATTCTGGAGAAGGTTTTAATCTTTTCCAGAATGGGGAAGGGTATGCCAAGTGTCTTGGTTATCATAGAGTAGTCTTATAGAAGAGAAGAAATTTCATAGAAAGTTAACTTTTATAAATGCTGATTACAACTGAACAGAGTAAGGGTTTCCCCCTAAAGTCTCCAAAGAAACAATGAGTATGTGCTTGCCCTGTATTTTACAAGATGCATTGTGAAAGAAAGGAAATAGTTTCAGAAGGCAATTATGCCTTGGTTTCATTATTAGATGATGTGCACTGACAGTTTTACCAGCTATAGTTGAAATGTTTCTATTTTTGCAATACAAACGGTTGTGCTGCAGTGGGTTCATTAACATGCTCAAGAAAAAAAGCAGGTCTAATTCCAAGAAAGCACTCAGACTAAATTATGTTTTCTGATCTATTCAAGCTAAGGACTGGTCTGTGGAGGAGGCCTCCTAATGACAACAGCAACAGAAAGGCTTTCCCCTGAACAAAAATGAGGATTGCAGAACTCCCTGGAATGGGAAGCGTTCACAGGGAGCCTTTCCTCAGCCTAACTCTAAGGTTAGCAATAAACTCACATTTCCTTTCTTCCAGGATGAAACCCATTGCAGAAGGCAAGTCAGATAACTGTTTTCTCTTGTTGGAACTTTCTGTTAACCTACAATCTCTTTTTATTCACCTTTTAATCCAACAGAAGAGTTAACCTTCTTCCTCTTTCCCGGAAGAAAAAGCTGCAGGCTAAGTTTTGATCTGAATGTCCCTTCGGTTTTGCATTTATTTTTCAAAATGATGGGGAGAGCAAGAAAGAATAAACCTAGTCATTATTTCTAGAAAATCAAGGAAGGACTAATTTGGGGAAGAGACAGTCATCTAATTATATGCCTGCACTGAAATCCCTCATGGCACGCCTATGTAACAACATCTGAAAACTTCCCACTTACATGCTGAAGTGAATGACCAAGTGTTAGCCCTCACGTTCCTAGTCTTACCTGTTCTACTCACTTGTAATGCAACACAGCCAAACCTGCTTGGTCGTGGCTGTGATGAGCCAGTGATTTTGCAAATCAAAATTTTATGTCTGTAGTGAAAAAAAAAAACAACACCCAAATATTTTCCTGACAGTACAACAGAACAGTAATTTTCAGTTCTTAATTTATTTAAACGTTCAACTTTGTTAAGCTTGTGTTGATATACAGAAGATGACAGAAAAATTGTGAATGGTCATCTTTCATGCTCACCTGTCTACGTACTGATTCCTGCATGACTCACAAGGATTTATTCTCAACACAAAACCCTTCCTTTGGAAATGAATAAACCAAACAGATTCTTTTAACATAGAGAACGTAGTGACCTTATGGTGGGTACAGCAACTATTATTCTGGCAGAGTTTTACTGTCTTACTAAATGGATGTCAACAACATCACCAAGTCAAGAAAGATGTCTACATTACCTGTACACCTCTATATAATAAAGACTACTGTTGCACTGCTGCAACTTCTTGACCGGATCTTATCAGATCCTGTACACAGAGAAGCCAGAAGTTAACAGAAGATAGAGTCTCATACTTCCTAAGTATCTTTTTGTGTCATCACTGACACTAATGATATAGTTGTGAAAATCTCTATCTAACCTAGTAGCATTTTGTTATCCACACTGGAGTCGACAGTAGCACAAAACAGAAGCACAGGGGTGTCACACTTCCTTGAGATTAAAGTATTTTTTAAATGACATAAGACCATTGAAAGTAAAGTAAAAATAAGCTGGAAATACTGGCTTCTGATACAATGGAGGAAAGAAATCAAACCAACCAGTAACAGTGTCATTATCTGGTTTTTCCCAGTCCAATATGACGAAAGTTGGACAGCCCTCAACAGTCACCACAGTGAGGTTGGTTGGAGGATTTTGTGGAGGACGAGTAGGTTCTTCCTTGCTGCCGGCTTCTTCTTGAGGAAAATGTTCAAGAGAGCTTGTGATAGAGCAAGGCACATCATCGTCTTTCTTCATGTACTTGACATGGGGGGCTAATAGCAACGGAAAGAGCTGTTATTCAATAGAGTGTATTTATAAAACATCAATAACGTTTCATCTAGTGCACAATTTCCATCTCAGGACACCAAATAAAATTCTGCATAACAATTCAATGTCAAACATAAATGTTTAAGAATAAAAGCCATATACCCAATATTAAGCTGCTTGGGGTTTTTTTTATTGTTGTTAGACCTGGAATCCACACTGCCTTCACCCCCTTCCCATTGGCACCACTGATGAAATATCACTCTGAAGGTATCAGTGGGTGATAAGCTCTGCTTGAAAAAATTAACCTCTGTCACAAAATAGGACAGTTCACTTCAGTCCTTCTGCAGTAAAATAACATCACAATTCCTTTTGCAGCTTTTAAGCGCTGTGTTAATACAAACACATAATGCCCATCACCACTTTTTATCACCAGAAGGAGTAACAGTTTTAGTCCAGAGTCATTCCATCATTAAACCTTCACTTTCTAAGGTGATGGTCAAAATATTAACCATTTTCAGTGGTATGGGACCAAACCTGGAAACAAACCTTTTGAGGCAAATGTCTTGTACTCTACATCAAAATTAGGAAGATTATTGAAACACATTAATTATAAAATTAAAACTTCTGTTGGATGTAAACAATAAGCTCTTGCAAGAAAAAGTGTCTTCAGAAATTAACTGTATCTTACCAGACTGGGAAAATATCTTGGGAAATCTTTTAGTACAAAAGTACGTCTTCCTGTCATCTCACCATGTCAAACTCCAGATTACTGCAACAGCAGTAACTTGACTACTTTATCACACAATAGTCATGGTTGGAAGGGACCTCTGAAGATCACCTAGTCCAACCCCCCTGCCAAGGCAGGTTCAATCATCTAGTCTAGTATATTTGACCATATTACTAGACTACCTGAATGTGCACAGCCTGGAATGAGAGGCGGTATACATGATAGGTAGATATCCCTTACGGTAAGGTGCACTGGTACTGGGGCAATACCTCTCCAAGTATGCTTGCAAGACCACAGGAAGATTTTTGTTTGGTTTGGTGCAAAGTGAGCAGTGTGCAGTTGTACTATTGCTGCTGGCATACAGGAAAAGCCACAACATGTTTTTGGGCAAGACTGTAAACTAGGAGGTGGTAGCAGGGAAGAAAGTAGACAAGAAGCAAAATTTAGTCAAGAATATGCTGATGGTCTGCACTACAGCCCTTTCATCTGACACTAAAGTGGAACAGAATGAAATGAGGCTTTGGCCTTCATATAACCAAAGAAGATAATGTTGATGCAACATAGGTCATTCTTCATATATTCACCCAAATAAAAATTCCATAGATATTAAAATCCTACCTTGGTACCTTGGTTTGCCTGAAGAATCTGTTTCTGATGTAGGACTTGAGCTGAAGACAGTTGCATCAACTGTGGAAACACAGTGATAATTTAATTTGCAATAAATACAAATTTTCAATGTTAGAACTGCAGCATTTCACAGCTCATTATAAATCATGGTAAAGCTCTTCCATAACAGACTTTTGCTGCCAGATCTGTCTTTTTCTTTTAAGCACTCCATAGTTTGGTTGTGATGCTAAGTAAACCCCACACTTAACTGCTAGTAGCCATAATCAAAGTCACAGAATCACAAAATCACATGACTGCTGCTGGATTAAGTTCATGCAATATATACAAAATGCTCTTTAGACCTTTTAAAAAGTATCATGTTGCACTGTACTGGCTGTTTAGCTTGGAGTTTGTTGCATGTTCATAGAATATACAACACTATTATGTTGGCATATGAACTTCTCTAAAAACAGTGACAGGGAAATCAAAAATTCTGTCCCCAGAGTGTACAAATTGCACAACATTTGAAGGAAATTGAGGGCAAATACACTGGTGAAGAGAAATGTCTTCAAGCAGTCAGGATTCATGACACCAGTGTTGTGTTAAATAGCCACTATACTGGACAGAATCTTCTCTTAGATGCAAATATTCCAACGGACCTCAGCGGACAAAACACAACATTTTAACAACAAGCATTGTTTAAATAAATCTATCAGTCAGTTGCTTTACTGAGTACTAAGGGTCACAATGAGCTCACTGTCATTATAAGGAGACAAGAATTTCAATGTTACTGTAAATCCAGGAAAATTAGAAACAGCATCTTTTATGACCATATGCCTCAAGCTGCATACTTTAGCTCAAAAATTTTAATCGCACCCTCTGCAAACCCATCCTTGTATGTCATTTTGGGGAGCTTTAAATCTGAACTTGTAGTTAACTGCCAATTTTACAAAGGGCAAATGACCAACTAACTGCTGTGTTTATCCGATTACATTTTTTTTCCCTATTTAAATGGTGGCAGTTTGATCAGATAGCTAGGAAGATATCACATCTGTGTTGAGAACTATTAGTCACTGTCAAATAATAATAATTTGAATTTATGTCTCGTGCAGAAAGAAATGTTCAGGAAAAGAAGTGCCTCATCTACACAGATGTAAGGTAGCCACTGAATAGTATTGAAAACCTACTAAGCATGTATTGATTTTTCGGAAGGTGGAAGGCCTGTCATCTTTTCATTTACCAAGCTGTGTATCAGAAGACAGACAAAAACCAAAAATCTTTATGTTCATGGAAAAAAAAAAAAAAAGAAACCAGAAGTGGGTGTAATATGCTTACCATAATACTCTGGAGTTGCAAAAGCTGTTGGCATCTTATATGACGTTCCTGTCCTCACAGGTGTTGTTGGTCCAGCGGGTTTAGCTATAATGACAGAAGGAGGAACTTGTGGCAACAAGACATCCACTATTTCTGATTTTCAAACACAACTCAGATTTCTGACAACTGCTTCATAAAACAATTAATTTCATTTAAACTATGATATTCCCTCAAAATTTATACAACAGCTTCCTGATGGAGTCAGGAAAGTTCCAAGGTTTTCTTATTGCCAATATAACCTATGCTTGAAACCTAAATTCTAAAGTTCTAAAATTCTTTGCTACTTCTTAGCTTCAGTCAGCTAGAATATGACCTGGTTTAATGCACAGGCCCATCCTACGCAGGTACGTAAGAGGATGCAAAATAACCAGCACTGACTTTTCTGTTTCTCAAATAAAAGAGCACTTTTCTTCATAAGATGTAAGACAGAAGAGCTGAAGTCAGCAACTGAAACTGGGATTTTTCCCTCAAATATAGCTAGGGTCCTTTCATTTCTGCTCTCAATACAGCATATGTATTTTGCAAGGCTAGAGCTGGAACATGCCATAACAAGAAACACTGAGTCCTTAACTGTGATCTGCATTAAGACTTTAACCAGAGACCAGCGTTGGAGCTTCTACCAAATGAAATTAAGATGCACTTCAAATAAAGGTAAGCAAAATACAACAAAGTCCAACATTTTCAAAATTTGTAACACCACATGACTCAAGGGAAAAAACTTTCATTCTGAACAGATCTGTTCTGTAGTAGGCACCATAAGTATGGACAGAAACTGACTGCTAGAAGCAATATTATCTCCCATAATTAAATAGCTATTTAAAAAATTATTTTAGATTATATGACATTGCTTTTACTCCTCAGCTGTTATCACCTAACAATAAAAACAAGTTTATAGGAGGCAAATAATCCATGGTAAATAATGTCTTGATCATTTTCAAAACAGCTGTAAAAGACAAGAACTACATCCAAAAACCATTCAGATACTCCCAGATAACCACTGTCTTGACTATGAAATCTCAACCCTAAAAATGTCAAGAACTACATAATGTAGTCACCTTCCTTGCATGTATGACACAGAAGAACATGGTGACTGAAGGCAGAACTCTGGTGAACCAAGTTTAAAACAACAGAAATCCCTACCTTCCATTAATTTCCTTAATAAAGTGGATATTTATTAAGACTCTCAGTAGAGTCCAGTTTCACAAAGGTTCTGGAACTCTCGTGTTTCCTTTTTTTCCATTCAGGAGACTTTTAATGACTGTATAGAAAACCTTCCCATAATACTCATCCACTGGATGAGTAAGAAAGATGCAAGTAAGGAATTAGTCACAGTGTTAATGAGAGAGAAACAGGACAAAATTATGAGGGGGAAAATCCGAGAAGAACATTGAGGCAAATTTTTCCTTTTAATATTGTGGAACAACCTCTCCAGGGAACAAGAGGAAACTCAATTATGATGTTTAAAACCAAGTTGGATAAAACACAGGAAAAGGAAAATCTGTTACTGGCTGCACAAGGAAGAACCAGATCATCTAACCAAATTATTCCATCTTGAATGCCTAGGAAGGTATGGTAACTGCTGACTACCACATAATCTGGCCTCCAGTGTATGGAAAAAGGGTAAAATTTCAAAACACTGGTGAATTAATTAGACACTTAATGAAGAAAACTATCATAGACCCCATTTCAAGCAAAATAAAATGTATCAGGTCAATGATTTTTTTATGCTATATTTTAAGACTGACATCTTATGTTTTGTTGTAACTATTACTAAGGAAACAACACCAATCAACAGCAAGTACAGACACAACTTGTAGATCTTGGCTCTACTGTTGAGTAAATATACAGTTTGTTTCATCCAGCTTGGAGATTCTTGCTTCTAATCTGCTGCACAAAACACTCGAGGTTTATTTAGGTTCTCCCACCGTTGCCAGCAGGAAGACCATGTCATGAATACTAGGGTAAGCTTTCTCACAAGGATCTCTGCTGAAGCAGGGTAAAGGAAGGCGAGGACAAAAAGGGCTTCCCTGGAAGATCCAAACAGTCTTTGCTCTCAAGAGAATTGGAAGAAAATTCACAATTCCCTTGCTTTAATAGCACACAAAGCCTCAGATGAAAAAAACAACAGAAACTAGCCAACAGGAAATAAAGCAGAGCCAAGACCTTTGTATTTCCAGTGAATTACAGAGAGTAATACAAAGAATGAAGCAGTTCTCATGATGCTAAGCATAATGAGACTAACTGGAACAACATAAGGCTATGGATTCTAATACAGAATCTACAGACAAAACGTACATAAAGATACTGAATATCTGGTTCAGGATAAAATTAGGAAAGGTGAAAGTTTCTGTGTGCTCTTGTACTGACATGGAGAAGCAGGAACACTGTAGCATGTGAATCAAAGCGAAACTCTTTGCACATGAAAGAGCTTGCTTTACCTCCCAGTGCAGTTAATTTTCTGGGTGCCTATTAGCCCAAGTTGTTTGCAGTGCAATGGATGTGCCATATATATGGGACAGAAGTGCTTTACCAATAACTAGTTGGAAGTACGCACTGAAGCATAATATTCAATATCTCCCATCTGACCACACACATTAAGTAACTGCAAATGTTATTAGTAGACATGAAATGCTCTTAAGGTTGATATTCTTAAAGGATGACTTGTATTATGCTATTTTGCTTTCAGCTCCCTTATTAGGGATGATTTTGACATAACTAGGTTAATGAAACAAAGAGAAAGCAGAATTTATATGTGAAGACAAAAGACAGAAGGCATGTATGTTCCAGAAGATTAGTTTTTATAGAATAAAGAAGAAGAACCTATAATAGAAAATTCTCTTATACCCAGCTAGTCGGTTCAGTATTATCTCACACATAATGAAGTATTTATGCTGAAAAGGCTGAGATACCTGGACTCCCTGGTTTACCAGTCACGGTGTTTGGAGGCAGAGGTTTTCTTCGCATTTGTGTAGGCTTGGCAGGAGGTATAGGAGGATGTTGAGGGCCAGGTGATGTTGTTACTGTATGACATTACAAGACAGTGTTATTAATAATTTAAGCTCAAATTCCATAAAATCAGAAACTTGTTACAAGTTATATTCTGACTTCTCAAACAATGTTTCATGTCTGATTTAGTATCAAAAGCAGAGAGGTGAGGTTAGGAGCTGAAATAAGTTGCATTTTCACCCTTAAATTATTTGTGAAATGTGTGCCATGGAGTTTTAAACTAAGCTTACACTGAAAAAACATAGCCCCTCTGGGATTTTGTACAAGTGTTTCAGCAATTCATTTTCTGTGTAGTTACTCATGTCTGTCAACGCTAATTTTTTGGCAGTCAAGAGGACACTCCTTCCACAATAAACACCACCTCAGTGTTTATGTGAAAACAAACTGTCTTCAATATCCTACTCACAAAATTTCTGATGTTTTGTACTTTCTGACATAAAACCAGTCACCCTCAGACCAAAGCAAAACATGTAGCAAAAGGGAAATTATCACACTTTATCCTATGCTGTTCAGAAATTAAAAATTAAGAAGTCACTGTCACTTCATGCACTGACACGGTCAGAGTGTTAGAAACTCCTGAAGCACCCAACTAGGTTGTTTCAATGCACAGTTCCAGCCAATATCTATTAAATTTATCCGGTAAGGTTCTTCGACAGTGAGGTCTGAAAGGAGAACCTAAAACTCTTAATTCATACTTACAAAACATTTTACTGTATTTTCCAGGCAATTATAAGGGATTTTATTATGCAAAAGAAAGGCAAAGGAAAAGATTTTCTTTCCAGTATTCACCTTTCCACTTCTTTCCTTAAGAAAAAAACAGGAGATATGTGCAATGCATTTATGTAACAGAAGACCTTTTGTACCTAACGGGAAAATCCTCAAGAGGAGTATAATTCTTATAATGCTGCCAATGTCAACAAACATGCAAGTTGCCTGATACTGAGTTACACAGAGTACCTCGGTCCCTGTGTATCAGACCTCAGTTTACCCTGTAAACAGGGTAACTGTAGGTGAGAAGGCAGCGGATCCAAAGACATATATGGCAGAGTCTTTTTCTAATACCTGTAATATACGAATAGAAACACTTCCATCTTTCAGTGATCCCTTTTCCATTTGGACTTTTGCAGTAATTTATAAAACTTCTTTTTTTTTTTTTTTTAATCAGTCAGATCAAACCAGGAAATTATACTGTACCTAATTCACAGAATCACAGAATCACTAAGGTTGGAAAAGATCTATAAGACCATCCAGTCCAACCATCAACCCAACACTGTCATACCTACTAGACCATGTCCTCAAGCACCATGTTTACACATTCCTTGAGTTGGTTGCCTCCATCCCGCCCCGGGCCAGCCTGTTCTGTTCCAATGCCACTCTTTCAGTGAAAAAGTTTTTCCTAATATCTAATCTAAACCTTCCCTGATGCAACTTGAGACCATTTCCTCTTGTCCTATCACCAGTTACCCAGCAGAACAGACCAACACCCACCTCCCTACAACCTCCTTTCAGGTAGCTGTAGAGAGCCATCAGGTCTCCCCTCAGCCTCCTCTTCAGGCTAAACAACCCCAGCTCCCTCAGCTGCTCCTCATCAGACTTGTTCTCCAGACCCTTCCCCAGCCTTGTTGCCCTTCTCTGGACACGCTACAGCACCTCTGTGTCCTTTTTGTAGTGAAGGACCCAAAGCTGAACACAGACCTGGAGGTGCGGCCTCACCAGTGCCCAGTACAGGGGCACAATCACTGCCCTACTCCTGCTGACCACACTGTTCCTGATACAGGCTGAAAATAGCATTTGTAGGTTTCATATGTAATTTTTAATCTCCAGATGGAGATGAAAATAATATTCCTAAAGACCTGAAAAATAACAATAGATTTTTGTATATATAAGTCATCGTACCCTCGGTATTACTACATGGTAGCATCCATGATTAATTTTCCACCTGCATGTATTTCAGGAATGGGATTGTCTGAGATATTTATAGGATAAAAATGTGCAAGTATTGATGTGTCAGGTTTCTGTCATATCTTCTGAATAACACAACCGCTAGTTACATGCAAGCCAAAACACATTCAGTGGACTGTGTCACAGCTGAATCTACTATACTGCACTTTGGAAAAACAAGAATCCCTATCCTTCCCTTCTGCTACTTCCACAATGCATTGGGTGACAGACTGTGGTTCTACCAAATCTAATTAACAATGTGTGGAGACTTAGCTTGTACACTACAACACACAATAGATTTTATGGATTTTGTGACAGTGTAGATTCTCGCAAAGACAGCAGCATGATGAACTATTTGGATTTACATAATCTCAGGGTTCTTTGAGAACTGGGAATGTATTTCCTCAATTCTCCCACTTTTCATGAAAAAGGAGGATGTGTAGCCTCTTAGGACAGAGTCTTAACACATCAAGCTTAATTCTTGAGTGTTGTAACCTCTCTTTTTCATTTCTTATATGGAGTGTAAATGTAAATTTTTCAGTTAACACTCACTAAGTTTTCAGAAAAAGTAAATGTAATTAAAAGTAAAGTCAAATACTGGCAAACTTACAGCAATATCTGATTAATCTGCCTCACTTTTTTGTCTGCAAAGATCACTGAACATACCCTCCTGGAAGCTAAGTGATGGCATATGGACGACAGGGAGGTGATAGAGACAGGCAACAGGGCTTCACAAAGGCAAATCATTCCTGACTAATCTGGTAGCCACCTATGACAGTGACTGTGTTGGTGGATAGGGGAAGAGCATCTGATGTCTCCCATCTTGACTTCTGCAAGGCCTCTGACACAACCCCACACAACATCCTTGTCACTAAATTGGAAAGATGTGGAATTGATAAATGGACTATTCAGTGGAAAAGGAACTGGCTAGACAGCCTCGTATAAAGACTTGCTGTCAATAGCTTCATGTCCAAATGCAGGTCAGTAACAAGTGGTGTCCCTCAGGGGGTGTGTTTGGGGACCAGTACTATTCAATATCTTTGCTGATGACATACAGTGGGATTGAGTGCACCCTCAGCAAGTTTGCCGATGACACCAAAACGTGTGGTGCAGTCAACACGCTGGAGGGAAGGGATGCCATCCAGAGGGACCTTGACAGGCTGGAGAGGTGGGCCACTGCCAACCTCATGGAGTTCAACAAGGCCAAGTACAGGGTCCTGCACATGGGTTGGGGCAATCACCAGTCTCAGTACAGGCTGGGTGACAGATAGATTCAGAACAACCCTGCAGAGAAGGACTTGGGGATATTGGTAAGTTAAAAATTAGATGTAAGTTAGAAATGTGTACTTGCAGCCCAGAAAGCCAATTGTATCCTGGGCTGCATCAAAAGAAGTGTGGTCAGCAGGTCAATTGAAGCAATTGCCCCTTCTACTCTGCTCTCATGAGATTTGACCTGGAGCACTGCATCCAGTTCTGGGGTGTCCAGTACAAGACAGACATGGACCTGTTAGAGCCGGTCCAGAGGAGCCACAAACATTATCAGAGAGCTGGAACATCTCTGTTTTGAAGAAAGGCTGAGGGAGTTGGGTTTGTTCAGACTGCAGAAGAGAAGGCTGCAGGGATACCTTATTGAAACATTCAGTACTTAAAGGGACCTTATAAGATAAATGGGAGAGGCATTTTACCAGGGCCTGTGGTGATAGGACAAGGGGTAATAGTTTTAAACATAAAGATTTAGATTAAATGTAAGGAAGAAATTCTTCCTGGAGAGGGTGGGGAGGCACTGGAACAGGTTGCCCAGAGAAGCTGTGGATGCCCCATCCCTGGAAGTGTCCAAGGCCAGGCTGGATGAGGCTTGGAGCAACCTGGTCTAGTGGAAGGGGTCCCTGCCCACGGTAGGGAGATTGGAACTATTCAATATTTTAAGATTCCTTCCATCCCAAACTATTCTATGATTCTATAATTCTGAATTTTGATATACATATTAAGGCCTAATGAAGACAGCTGAAATCACAGATGTATACAAGAAAATTACACAACAGTAGTGACTAATTTCACAACCATACCCAGCTGGCTTTTATGACTACAGTTCAAGGTATTGGCTTACTTCACAGCTCTAAAAGCTTAACTTCAAACATCTAATGTCATAAGATGAGTAAAAGCAGATGTAAATGTTCCTTCAAATCTACACACATAAAAAACTTCCAGTCTCTGCAAATCACAAACTGGATTTACTTAAGTACACACTACTGCCTGACATTCAGCAATAAGAAATGCACAACATCATCCTTGTTTTCAGTTTACAGTCTGCATCCAGCTACTACTAATAGTATATCACACTGGACTTAATCTTTGTGAAGTACAATTGTCAGATTGACTAAAATTTAAAAGATAAAACATCAGAACTCAGCTATCAAGATAAGCAGTTGTCTTTGTACAGGTAAATTAGGTGCAAAGGAAAATCAGCAGAGATCAGGAGCAAACAGCAGTTTATAAATTAGCTAGAGCTGTATCTTTGTGTTTTTAAATCTAAATAATATGTTTTCAAAGGAAAACACAGATAAAAAGGGCAGCTGCAGCTGGACAGTAAATCCAAAGGTAAAACTAAAGAGATTTTATTTTCAGTCGGTTTTTATGCCAGTAAAAACACACAGCTAAATCAAAGCCTGCCCTTGGTTATGCTTATGAAATGACGAAATCCTCTACGTGTAAGGGTGTTTACATTTTTGTATTTATGTTTGTGTGCATACATGTGGCATACAAACACACTATATTACAACTTTCAAGCTGAAACAGAAAACCAGAAAATTTCTAAGAAAATAACTAGAAAAAGTGAAATACAAAAAGCCTATATTGGAAGGCCTATTTAGGGAAGCTATTTTTCAGTTAAAATATTTCGAATGTTTTGAAAATGTGATTGCAAGACTTGCAAATATGTAAAACTGACAAACCTGGTATAGCACATGTTAAAAAAACCTGTAACTTTATTTGCTCAACATTGTTATTTTGCTTCAAACCTAATATTCAACTCAAACAATCCTAATTTTCAACGAAACTTTTTCATAAAGAGGAGGACAATTTGGTTATGCATTCTCCTTATTCCCCCTTGCTATGTAGAATTAATAGTATGAAAAAAACCCAGTGCCTACAGTATTCTGGCTGTTTGATCATAAGGATAGAACACTGGTGGTGGTAATTTTTAATAAGGCATATGTTAAGTGACTAAGAAATATACTTATTTTTATCTCTTTTAGTAGCATCCTGAAGCCAAGTGAAAGTGTATTGGTGAGGATGACTAAGAATTATTTTCACTTCTTAGTGGAGTTGCTTTCTGTGTTTTGGAAAAGCAGCGTTTTAATTTTTTCAGAACTGTTAAACTTTGCTATATGGTCTTCTTTTATTAAGCTTACCAGAAACTGGCTTTTCCCAGGTATCACTATATTCCAAAGGTTTTTTCACATCCACGCCAATTGGTTTTGCAATATCCTCAGGTCTATATACATCCTCTGCGAAAGAAAGAAAATCAAATAAGTATCTACAGTGCAGTACCAAGTCATGGAATAGTTCTATGCTGCATATGTTCAAACTCTAGCTAACATTAAGTGTAAAGCAGGCATATATGGCCCACCTATGTTTTTACTGATAACTTAGGGATACATGTTATCCTCCTGTTGAAGTAAGTATAAAGTGATAAGGATCTACAGGTCCAGCAATTCAATTTTAAACATTCATTGAAAAAAGATATTTTTGAAAAAAAGAATTAATAGGATTAAGAAAGAACAGATGAGTTAAACCAAGATGAGATGTGAAAAGATGAGTACAGCCAACATTTTAGTTTCTCAGTAATCAGATTAAAACTCCATTTATTCTTGCAAAGGGCAAAGTTCTCCTTCTCCCCAAAATAAGGTCTCTGGTTATCCTCCATACTGAATGGCTAGAGCAAATCTGAACCAAACATATACCATATTTGGAGTACTGGAGGCAAAGTGTACATAAAATTCAGTTTGTATATAAAAGAAAGCCTGATTTAAAAGTTATATAAACATTTTTTTAAAAAAACAAAGTAAATGGCATTAAAAACATCAACACAACTACTCCTGGTACAGAAAAACTGTTTCACATGCTGATATTTATAGGACAGCCAGACTGTTAAATTATTATACTTTCTCTGTCCAAAATAAGTATATTTACTTTAGAAAAGCCCTATATATGGCAGAGTGAGAAGATGCCCTGCAATTTCATCATGTCTGTGAAAAAAAAAAAACCAAAACACTTTCTCATGACATAAGAAAAAAACCTCAAAATTAAACTAAACATTTCAACTGAAGATTTCATAGGTTTATAATCTAGTGTTCAGTTTGTTTTGAGATTAAACTAGTATCTTAACAACAGATAATTTTTCAATTATTTTACTCTTTAGCCATTTTTGCTAGGCATATCTTAGGAATCCACAGTCTATAGTATGGACGTGATAAATGATTTACTTAAGATTAAAATAATGAGACCTGTAGTAAGCTGGGAAGAGGACACAGGTCACCTGGTCCCTGTGACTAAAATTTCTAAACACATCATGTGGTTTTATATAACTGCATTTTGTCTTCAGGTAACTACCATGGTTAATTAGATCTTCAGATACATGAAGTGTCAGAGTGCTAATCAATGTTTCATGTGAATAGTGTTCAAGGAAAAAGAGGCATGAGAAAACAACCACCACCTTTAAAAAGAAAAGTAATCTTGTACACTACCAGTCATAGAGTATATTTGGTTTCTTAGCACCATCTCACAATAAGCACATCAATAACATGTAGCCGCACATTGAATAAATCACTTTAAATCACCCAGGTATCGATTACAAGTCTAATTTAGTTTTGCATCTTACAGTGTCTGCAGAAAAGTCTACCTCTATCCTGCTCATTACAAACTAAACTAGAATCACAGTCTTTTCTGAGTTATATCAGCTAGGAATGAACAAAAGATTGTATATATTCTAGATGGAAGAAATAATCTTTTTTTTTATCCCCCTCCCCCTCCCAGCTTGCACTGCTGTTCTGCCATTAGTAAAGTAATACTGAAAAATAAGTCAAAGTTTCAGGGAAAAAGCTGATAAACCCACAACACTTCCATGCTGACAAACTCTCCTTTTTGCATGTTTCAATGTACTTTAAAGTTACAGAAAAATTTGTTTGTGTTTTCACACAAGGAACCTGCACTATCAAATAGCTTGCTGTATTTACCATAGTATCTGTCTTATGATAGCTAACAAAACTTGCTTATTATAAGCATTTTGACTTACCACGTTCATTCAGACTTTTAACAGAACTGAGAATAAATGCATTACTTGCGTGTGTGTTTGTGTCTTCTTTCACTTCTTTCTTTTTTCCTGAAAATATTTACGGGCTCTGGAATACCTTAAAACTAATCACTGCATTTTTAACAACAGGAATACTATTAGGAGGGTGGATCATTTTAAGGAAAGAACTGGAAAAAGGTCCCTTGATAAAACAAACTAAAATACCTTAATACCTGAGTTCCTCTAGAACTTGTCTATACACTCACAGTTTTAAAAATAAAAAGAAAATAGAACACAAAGGTAATGGCCTTTATACTGAAAACCAACTCTCTCTCTCTTCCAAAAGGGAAGTGGAGACGTTGCTCAGAGTTTGTTTGCTGAAGGTTCTTTGGAAGATGAATCCATAAGGAGCAGTTTTTAAATGGTTAGAATTTAAAAAAAAAAAAAAAAAAAGTAAGATAAGAGTAAGAAAAGTTACATACGCTAAGAGAAATACAAAAAGCCATCTCAATAAAATGAAATTCCAGAGAAAATGGCTAAAACATGGTAGAAAACTAAAAGAAATATTAGTCATGAGGAGGCAATCCTTGCCGCTTTCCCACAGTCAAGTTTACCACCTGGCACTACAGCTAGCCAGGAGACTGAAAAGCCTGCCAGGAAACCAGCCACAATCCCATGTGCTGCTGCTGGAAAAAACAAATTCCACTGCTTATCATCTGGGCCCTGCTGCTGCCAAGCAGACTCCGCATGGTGTGAAACATCTTTGCCCTCCTGCTAATGAGCATAATCAGGAAGAAGAACTCGAGTACACTGAACAGCAGTGCCAGCCCGGCAAGGAATTAAAAGATCCAAACCAGTCTTCAAACAACAGAGTATCTGTGGCTCTTCAGTACATGTGCTCTTCTTCAGAGAAAGAAAAAACGATGTCTAAAGGTGAGCCTGAAAACATGTTGTTCCTTACAGTCCAACTAAGGATTCTGATCAGCTTCAATCAGAAGATAAAGATTCTCATAAGCTCACCACAGAAAATAACATACCATTTTCATAATGGAAAAAATAAACTTACCCACCCCAAAAAATCACCCAGATATCTTAAAATGTTACTATTTCTCTAAGATATCACATACTGAAAAAGCAATTTTTTTGTCTTTGCTCAGCTGGTAAGATTTAGGGTTCCAGGTTAGTAGAGTTCTCTTTTCTAAGTCTCTTCTGCAGACTTAGGAATTGTCTGCAATATGTAATTGCACATTGCTTGGGGCAGATATGTAAGATTTCTTTAACTGATTACCTGCATTCTCTTGTTGTGGGAGATGATTTCTGTGAGCACAGACTGCCTCGTAGGCTCAAACACTGCATTTGTCACAATACTGTGGCATACCTGCTTTACAGAACACTTGGCATGTCACCTACTGATCATCCAGGAAAATACAGACTGAAAAGATGTGAAAAGCTGTAGTCTGCTCTCAGCATATCATGAACACATCAAATTCATTGGTGATTTCTCATTGCTCAGCAATGTGAAGTCACATTCCTGTCCTTTACTGAGAAGTTACAAAACCCCCGAAACTGGAACTCTACCTGTTGTTGGCACAATCCACTTTGGCAGTCCAGGTGCTTTTGTTCTAGCTGGTGGTAGTGTGGTTTTATTAAAAGCTGTGAGAGAGTTTAAAAAAGAAAAATAAGAAAAAAACAAACCCAAAAACCCCATCAGAACAAAACCCAATTTTTTCTGAGTTGGAAAGGCTTTAACTCTAGACTGATTAATTGAAAGAAAAATACAACACCCCCACCGCTCCTTTTTTTCCCGCAACACTTAAAATTCCACTGAGAATACTTGAAATAAAGTAATTAATTAACCCCATCCCCAATTCCAAATTGAATAAACAATTATTACCAGGTCTGGTCTGTGATTTATCAGATGGCTTTGGTCTTGCGGAAGTGAGACGTGTTTTATGAGGTACTAAAAGAAATAAGGTTCAGTTTAGATGCAACATGTAAAAGGAACACCAATAAGGTAGTGTAATTTGCTGGAAAAAGGGTCCATGCACCAATGTGATATAGCAAAATGGATATATGAAAATTGTATGAGTTCCAATTCAAAATGCACGCTGAAAATGCCAGCTTTAGTGGTCAGATGACTCCATCATGCATTCTGACCAGTTACATTCATGTTTAGGTTTAGGAAAAGATATAAAATATTTACAGCCAGTTACCCAACTGTATATGGATACAGAGTTAGCTCTGCAGGGTATCCATGGCCATAAGACATTTAATTAGGTTCTGTAAAAAACAAAAAAACAAACAACCTCAAAATAAAACACCAAACTGAACACCCACCAATCAAATATTCAGATAAAACCATGAAACATTAAATATTGCTGAAAGAACAACTGTAAGTACTCAGCACCAATGCTGTGTAGGGCTGCTGAAGAATAGCATCATCAGCAAGGTTAAAATCAGAAGCCTTCAACCTTTTCTTATTGTCTCCCTTCACTTGCCAAATACTTTTGATATTTTAGTTGTTATAGAAACTGTGTGAATCACACTGAAAGCATAAGCAGTAGCCACTGTCCTCATCTGCCAAATTATCAACCTCTATAACTCAAATTTTTAAATAGAGTTAGCTATTTGATATTCGAATCTAATAACCATTCTATCCACAACACTCAATCCAGCCTTTCTAAAGTGTCACAGAAAATACTTCTGCAGGAAAGAACATATTAAGCATTTTTGACATTTACATTTAGGAAAAGTTTTACAGATTCAGATTTTGTATTTTATGAGGAAAAAGGTGGAAGTCAGTTACATCTATGTTTGAAACCCTATACATCTGAGGATGCAATACACAGCACTAACACTGTTATAAGCTTCTTATCATCTTCGAGGCAATACTGACTAAACCTTGATTTTCAGAGCAATGAACAAAAAACATTCAATAAAAGGAAAAATAAATTTTCATGTTATATATTTGAAATAGTTTAATGAAATAGTAATAATGAGCAGACTGTTAAAACTTAAACTGAACTGATTTTACTTAAGATCTACAGACTCTCAATGTAACAACTTAAAAAAACCTAACAATTACCTGTATCGAACCGTGAAATTTCGGTTTCTAGAGCAGTTTTCGGCTTGGGTGAAATCTGGTACGTTTCATTGGGAACTGAATTGAAAGTGGAGATGTTATTGCTTACGAAACACAAATTATTTCCTTTTAAATATAAGACACCACAGGCAGAAGGGAAATTCAAACTGTCATTGTGCAGGCTATAAACAGAGTCAGTGCTAGAAACCTGGCTGAAAATCATGCTTTTATACAGATAAAACAGTTTTCAAGACTGGGAATATGTATATCATTAGTAAGTCAGACAAAAGGAAAGATGATCAGCTAATGTTTTTTTTTTATGTGACTCCTCAGCCTTGTACATGAAGTACTTATTTTTAGAAAGAATTGCATGAAAGAAAAATGTCTGGAAAACTAAAACCAGCAAAATTTTGTACATGCACTGGAATGTGATTAACAAATGAACACACATAGAGATATATTGAGGTATTTGTGTTGATTGTAAGTTTAGCCATATAGCAAAAGCAGAGAAAGTAAAGTTTTATGAAAAATAAACTGACATAATATTCTCATTACCCAAAGACATTTTGGACCCATCAACAACATGAACAGTTATAAGGTTAATTGATCCCAGGTGTGTTGCCCTTGGAGCTACAAGAAATAAAACATTGTTCTGTGAGAAGTGAAATTAAAGAAGTTGGATTCCATTAAGGATTTGTGTCCTTTGTCTCCTAAAAACCTATCTACACATCTGCTATGACTATTTTAACAGGCATGAGACAGACACGTGTTCTGATTAGTCTGGATGTATTTTCATGCTGACAGCCAGACAGTGCAACTATTTTACTGGGCCCCCACAGACTTCAGAACAAATGCCCTAAAGGTGAAGTTCTGACAGCCTTGGGTCTTTTTCTCACATATATATATGTGGGTATATTAATTTACACTTCTACTGTAGTTACTGCAAAAACCACTGATAGGAAGAAGGTAGCTATACTCTTAGCATTTAACTATCTTGGACACAGATTCTGTAACACAGGTTTCAAAAGCACTTGAGAAATTGGAGGAAATGTATTTAGGGTAGTAACATCCCGCAAAAGAAAATAACTTAGTGAAGCTGGCTACAATGGTATATTTTTACTAAAATTAATCAAATTCCTCACATTTTTAGTGGCTACTACCCAGAAATCCAACAAACAAATGTTAAAAACCCAACCATCGTAACTTCTGCTCTCCATGGAAATTGATGCAATTTTTGGGCATACTCTTTGACATAATTAACAAACTCTGTGCTGAACAATGGTACTAATTTCTGTCCACATAGCATGTATGTCACATGAGTACAGTTCTGAATGGCAGCACAAAGTATAACTAAGTTGGTGCCACTATAACATCTTAAAAGGTACAAACTTTAAATTACCAGATTTAGTTTGTGGTACTTCTGGCCCGACAGATGTTTTGGGTTTGGAAGGAATGAGCAGTGTTTCTTTTGGAGCTGAAAGAGAAGGAAAAAGATTATTATTGTATTCTTCAGGACTCGTGATCCAATGCCATATTTAGCCCACAGAAAATGCATGCCTCAAATGCCTGAAAAAAAAGACAATAACAATTCCATGGCTTTCTGGAACCTGAAACAAAACAACTATCCAAAACACAGAAAAATCCTAGTACTGAGCTGTAGGATAAGTTGAGTTACCGGATAAAATTCTTGCTCTAAAGGAAAAATTAGACCACTAAATTTGGTTGGAGATCTGACAAATAAAGGCTTGTGACCGGACACGAGCTGTAGGCTATTTATGCTTTACTTCCAGGTAGAACCAAGACTCATCTATATCAAAGAAACATGCATGTATGTAAGCAGAAGGAAGGATAGTGGAAAGATGTTACACAATGCCACACCGCAGCATGTTCTCTAGAAATTTATCCTATAAAAAATTATTAATACCTACATCTTAACTTTAAGGAAACTTATTTACCCATTGTTGCCCTTGAATGCTCAGTGGTAGTAGAAGATTTTGTACTAATTGGTTGTGGAGTTGTCTGATGTATCGCTGTTAAGAAGAAAAATGTGAAGAATCTTAGAATATTAAACCGTAATATAAACAAAATAGCATTTGCGCTATTTCTAAAACTTTCAAAATTCCTAAACTAAAGAGTAGCAGGATATATTAAACATCAGCTGCTGACAGGTATCATTATCTTTCTGTTAACTTCTATACATTCCTTCTATAACAAAAACAGGAAGAGACACAGCCTTCTGTAACTACTTTTAGGACTACTTTTGGTTCAGTGTAGCACATGATACCAGTTGCTAATTGTACAAGCACATTGCAAAAGAGTTTTGTTGCATTTTATGGATTAAACACAAAACCAAACAAAACAAGATGCTCACAGAAGAGCATTTCTGATGATCAGGAAGTAGTCAGAACTCAGTCTAGCCACTCAAATTTGTCAACACCCCCATTACCATATTTTAGTCATCATTTGCTATATGTAGTAGAGAGGAGGAAAAACTTGATGCTATACTACAAATGATACTGTATTTTTAGTGCAATTTTGGCATATTTTGGATTGATTGACTTAAGTGTAATTAATTTGTTTCAGCACAAACCAGCTATGAATAATTCAATTAAAAAACCCCAAACCTGAGGCTAAGGGAAAGAAAGCTTAAACACAGACACACAAAATTAAAAGTATGACTCCATTACCAGGTCTGGTGTGTGGCGCTCTTGGTTTTTCAGATGTTTTTAGTTTGGTATGAATGAACTGTTTTTCAGTTGGAGCTGAAATAAAAACAAACAGCACCCGGAACAATAATTGAAAAAACACACTGCTTTCATAGCATACAAGGAACATAATATCATCTCATCTGTAATAAGACCAATTATGTAAGGGTAAAGCTGAAAATCAATCAGCTGGAATGCCTGCAAAGAAAGTAAAACAAATTAAATGGCCACTGACACAAACAGACCTCTCCAAAATTATACACAAATTTGTAGCTTTGGATGAGGCAGTGAAGAATGTAGTCATGAACAGCATACAGTAAAGTAATGGGAGAAAAATAGACAATGGTAGCCTACATCTTCTACATCTGCCATACATGAGTGTCTGAGAGCAGGGTCTGTTGTTCAGTGGACCTTTCATACCAGACGTGGTTTCTAAATGTAACTATTTTGTTCTCTTGAGGGAACTATTTCAATCTTGTTAACTTCACACCGTTCAGTTAAAAATTCTTGCCATGTAGGAATCATTTACTGGGAAGGGTTGTCCTACCACGTGCTAGGCTTTGATCCACACCAATGTGACAGGTCCTCAAAATATCTGCCTTAGCCTGTGCATTCTCCATACCCCTTGCTCTGAAGAACCATTTTCTGCATATGAATATTGCATCGGGTAGCCCCAGATGTGTACGACAGGGCACTTAGACTTCATAAAGCCACAAAAAGAGATGTCAAAAGAATACCAACCTAAGCATCAATGCACACAGGGGATGTATATAAAATAGAAACATGATGAAATAAATTTCATTTCCTATTCCTCAAAAAGAAAAAAAACCCCCCATAATTCAAAAATTATTAAATGGCTATTAATACTTTATTAATGATAGCTTTTAATTCTCACAAAACCATGGTCAGTGTCTGTCTCTGAAGATGGGGATGAAGAACTGATTATTAACAAAGATTGCTCAAGCAATACTATTTCTGCCCAACACAGCTTGGATTCATTGGCCCTATTTGGTCTACATCCGACATTATTTAAGTTAAGAAGAAAGAATTCTGAGCTAATGTTTCATATTTTTAAGCAAGTTTTCCCAGCATGGTTGACTAGAATTTAGCAGAGACGATGGCTTTAGGAACTAGTACTTGATCTGGAGGGTCACACAGCTGGTCTGTTTTGGCTATGCTATAGTTATTATTTTATCATTAAAATAGTAACTATATAATAACCTTATCATTTTCTTGCAGTTTTCTTCTGTAATATACCATGAGGAGTGAAGAAGAGTATTTTAGGATGACAGCATCCATACCTCAGATGCATAAGTTACAAGAACCACTACCTGCTCTTTAAATAAAGTCCCCTTTTAATGAAAAATACATACATCTCAAGGAATTACATCATCCTGACTGGAATGGCTAGAAGATGAGCAAAAGAACCTTCAAAAGTAAATGAGCTCATGAATTATTACCCTTATCAAGACCAAAGGGAAAGTAGCACCTAGAAGCAGAGTAAAACTTCATTATAAGTTTTTAATATCATGTAATGAGCTCTCTCTAAGAGCTCTCTAAGCTCTCATCTTTCCTAGCAAGAATGGAAAATAGTGTAATTATTTATGAAATGCACATGATTACCCAGTGTTGCCTTTGGTCTTTCAGGAATATGAGGAATTTTAGTAGTATCTGGTTCATGGAAGGTTGGAAGGATTTCTGTTGGAAAAAACGTCCATAAATGTTCAGAATAACAAAGAGTCTCCCTTTCTCTTCTGCCCCCTTAAAAAAACTTCAGCACTATACTATACACTCCAGGAAAGGGATGTTTTACGACAGCAATGGGCATTTACCCTCAGAGATTTATGGTTACAAAGAGTTCAAATTTTTGTTTGCTTTTAACATCTAGATACTTTTTTAAAAATAAAACAAACAAACAATAAGAAACCCTTCAGTGAAATCACTGAGTATCTTACACAGGTCAGTCAGATTTATGAGGGGGAGTCTCCTAATTGAAATATAAATAAAGGGAATCCTCAGTATAATCTGGATGAAAATGTGTATATAAAGGAAACCCACTACAACAGCTGTAAGGGGCTTCTCTCACATGAACTTCAAAACCATGATGCAAACAACTAAGTGTGCTGCTCAGATACAAGCTGTGAATAACTTTTTATCATTGATTTAAACATACAGGTCACTACTATTTCTTTTTCTGGTAATAATCTTCATAACATAAAAAAATATCTTGAACTGTTGCAGTTTCCATCGGTGGAATGACCTCTCAAGTTAGAATGATACTCAGGTAACAGCAAGCATACTGTTAAGAACTCCCCCCATTGACCACCCTGAAAGCAGTTGCCTAATTATTAAACACAGCTTGACAAAAGACCAGACAATTTACCAGGTTTGCTGTGTGGAGCATCTGGGATAGGAGCTCCTTTGGGTTTAAAGGGAGTATGTTGAGGTTCTTTAGGAGCTGAAAGAAAAGACTTGTTTTAAGGGTTTATACTCCAGAAATTAGACAGATACATTGCACAAGCACTGCAAGCCTCATGCTTGCATAGAAAAAAAGAGAGCATTACATGAGGGACTGAAAAAATGAGTTTCAGATACATACAGGAATTTAAAGAGACAAGGGAAATCATGAATGAACACATGGGTGGAAAGTTGATTAAGTAAGCAGAATCTGGAGTCAAGCAAGAAAACTGAAAGAACACAGCCAACTCTGGTGGAGATGTTTCCATATGTACTTCAGAGCTCACAGTGCAAGGCCCATGGCATGCTTGTCTCCTGGAAGTGTCAAAGGATTTACAATGTGTGTGAGAGTGAAAGAAATTTTCTGTGAAGACAACAAAACAGCTAGGAATCTTTCAATACCTGGAACAAAGTAGAATTAAGTTCAAGTAGAAAAGAAAACAAGTCAAAAGCACAAACAGATGATGTGAAAAAGTGACTAATGATACACTATCTTTGGTCCAAGGAACAGCAGGGAAAGAATAATAATGACCAGCCCGAGGTAACATCTTTACCTGTTGCTGTCTTTGGTTGTTCAATTGTAAATGTAGTAGGTGCTAAAACTTCATAAAAACAAGAAATCACACTGAATTAGCAATGAGTACAAGCAAAAAGGTAAAAATATTCCCTTTTACATGACTGATTTCTTTTCAACTTGGAACACATACTTAAATTGGTCTTTAAAAAAAAAAGTATTAGTGAATATGCACTCTCCAAAAAGAAAGGTTCATCTGATGCTTTCAGAACCATCAGGACGTTAGAGGTTTGGCAGTTTACTACTATGGAAATCCCTGTTAAGTATGTTTTCAAGGGTCAGATTTCATTACGAGGGCACACAAACATGAGTGGTTTGAATTACAGATATTTAGGGTCATACACAAAGACCCTTAAATATATTTTTTCTAAGCATCTTTTGATAGGCACAGAAGACAATTTCTTCCAAGAACATTCTTAAAATGTCTGTATGCTTTCTATCCTGCTATACAGATTATTCATCAGTGACGGCTGTCACGTGGCTGAAATGCATATAAATCAAACTTCATCCATTAAAGATACAGATCAGCTCTATCTTCCTTTAAACATGTATTTAACAATCATTAGAAAACCTATTTCTTTGTAATATAAAGAGATGTTAATCAACACTTCATTCTTTGAGAAAAGGTAACCCAAAAGAAACCCTGAATATTCAAGCACAGCTAATCAACAATGTATTTACCAGGTTTTGTGTGTGGTACATCTGGACTTGGTGATGGTCTGGGCTTCAAAGAGACTCGTCGACTTTCTTTTGGACCTGTGAAGATGGGCAAGTTTTGAACATTTTACTGGGCAGGATGATTCAACGTAAGTCTTTTGATTTTCCTGACAGGAGATTTATTTTCTCCAAAGAAATTTTTTAGGAAGTATTTCCTCCATGTGAAAATAATCACAGAGTTCTCCTGTCAATTCAATAAATATTGTGTGTAAGTGCAGAGACTAAAGACAAAATGACTATTGCAGTGTAGTATTGGATTAACCCTCCACTCCTCTCAGCTCTATCAAACAGAACGTTCTACAGAGTAATCTGCTGTAGGTCTAACAGTTCCCCGGGTGCACATCTCAAGTGTTTCATATTGCAAAAACCTGCCACCCATTTAAATCAACTTTGCATGAAAATAAAACCTCCAGAAAAGCAGTCAAGCAGAAGAAACATGGAAATACACCATTAATTTTCAAATGGACAGAACTATTTCCAAAGTTTTGGGAACGGGAAAGTACTGTAATTTTACACTTGTAAATGATTAACTAGAAAATAAAAATACCTCTGCCATATTCTATGGAAATTAAGACACAAATTTTCCTATGTGGAAGGATGAGTGTTAACACTCATATCCCTACCATTATACAAGTGACTGACATGTAGAAATGTGTGATTATCTTGTTCTGTGACAGCTCCATAGCAAAATTTGATTATGACAGTACATCACAGCCTATTCAGTATCTGTGTACCTTCAGAGAACTCATCAACTTTGACAATTTTCAAGCTAATAACACCTTCATGCACTGAAAGGCAAAACGTTGATAAGCTTACTTGCTCTAGTTGGAGGAATACGTGGACTGGGTGATGTTTTAGGTTTGGAAGGCCCATGACGTGTATCTTTAGGAGCTGAAAGAAAAAAAAACTGGGTTACGCTGCACTAAAATTTTCCAACATATCAGTGTCCATTACCACCAAGAATATTCTACGGACATGATGCAAAGGAGAAGGTTTTTTTGGAACAAAACCAGGCTATAGAGAAAAGCAACAATCTTCTGTGAAGTGTCATCAACTAAGCATGTGACAGAATTACTTGTTCTATCTAAGACGACGACCTAAAAAAATAAAAGAAGAAGAAACCAAAATAAGTAGCTTCAAATACAAAGACACTGCTGTTCTGTAATGGAGGTTGAACTGGAGTGATTTGCAGTACTGGATTGAAATTATAAAAATGCCTTAGTTAAATGGATTTGCCTCGAGGAATCATACACTCCCAAAGATGACTCCAGTGATTCTGTTCTGACAGTGGAATTGAGGTGTGAGAGAAGGAGAATTATTTTTCAGCCCTCTATGAAGAACTGAATTTCATTTAGTAAAACTGGAGGGGAAGGGAAGCAGAGAAAGAAAACTTGCAGCATGGAACTCTGCTCACCCAAACCATATGACTAACTACAACAGTGCTACCTCTACAGTATAACTGAGAGCATGTACGTTAGGATCCTGTTCTGATCTGCCCTCTGCCTCTTATCATTAAATACTGAAGGAAATCACCCTATGGTGTGTGCATAACAACTTGAAAGGCACAAGGAACCTCCTTGATTGTTTTGTAGAACATAAGAAAAGAGACAGAAAATCTTGATTGGTAAATTATTAAGGCACATAGAAAGGAAGGGGACAAATTTTCACAGGTCTACTCTTAATGACTTGTGTTGAAGCAGAAAGACAACATGACTATTCAGGAAGGAAAGTCTTATTACCTACTGCTGAGTTTGATTTCTCAGTTCTAAACATAATTGGTTCCAGAACTGCATTAGCATGATAAAAACCTAAACCAAGTATTACCAAGAACAAGCAAAACATTAAAATCACTACCTGCACAAAGGTCATACCATCCCTGCTACAGCCAATGACGGATGCTGACTCCTCCTTGACATACATGTCAGTGTATTATGCCACTCAGAATTGCCTCCACGCTGACTCCTCCTTGACACCCAATACATGTCAGTATATTATGCCACTCAGAATTGCCTCCAGTGTAAGGCAATAGCTGTAATACAGGTCAGAGACTAAATATAAATCTGAAGCTTTTGTAATAAGCCACAAAGAAATTGTGGGTGTTTTTTCACCTTCAACTGTGTACGCTTTATTGACTTATTTAAATGTTTTGATGCAAATAATAGCACAGACTTACTGGGGGAAAAAGGAACCTGAGTTGTCATCTTTCCTCCCATTTCTCCAGCAGCACCATCTAATATTGCATATACCTTGGATACCTGTGCTGGCTCTGGCTGGGATGGGGTTTATCTTCTTCATAGCAGCCCCTGCGGTACTCTGTTTTAGATTCATGACCAAAAGAGCATTGATAACACACCAGTGTTTTAGCTGTTGTCGAATAGTGCTTGTTACAGCATCAAAGACTTCCTTGTTTTCCACTCTGCCCCCAAGCAAGTAGGCTAGGGGTGGGCAAGATGCTAGGAGATGGCTGGGATTCCACCTCATACAATATCATGCCTAGCAACAAATCTGGGGGATAGTCTTTCCAAAGGATCCATTTCTCCTAGACTGGCATTGATCTCCTAATGGGATGTGGTGAGTAGTTTCCTTTGTATAACTTGATTTTTCTCCTGTCTTTTTATTCTTCACAGGTTAAACTATCTTTATCTGGAACTATGATCTTTTTCCTCTCTTTTGCTCTGCTGATTCTCTCCCACAACCCACTGCGGGGTGGAATGAGCAAGTGGCTACTGGGTGCTTAGTTGTTGGGTGGGGGTCAATCCATCACAGTACCTCATGCAATTGCAAGTGTGAGTTGTATAACTTTCTTCCTCCATCCTTAATTAGACCAGGGTTGAATATTGCTCTATATCAAGCTGTGTAAACAACATCATTGAAAATATTACATATTCTTAAATCTTTGAACAACCTAAGGGCGGGGCAAAAGTGAATAGAAAAGTATAAAGGAATGATTGTGTCTGGGAAAGAAAAAATAAGTACATAATTTGAGAAATACAGAAAAAAACCCCTTCCTCTTTACAATGGCACCTTTCCTTTCCACTTTCACTTTTCCAAAACCCAAGCAAATTCTCACAGAAAAGACCTATGTTCACTGACATCTGCACATAAAATGCTCACTGTTGCAGTGACTTAAAATGTAAAAAAGGACCGAAGATTTTAAACTTACCAGGTTACTTATAAATTCCCTGCCATGACACGTGATACTGGATTTTATCCCTCAAGGAATGCTCCAACATACACACCCATAGGATACATATAAATCTGAAGCTCCACTGATCACAGTAGAAGTCTTAAGACACACGTATCAATATGATAATATAAAGAAATAACATACTTACCAGGTTTGGTTTGTGGCACCTCAGAGCTTGGTGATGTTCTAGGTTTGGAGGGAAGACGCTGTGTTTCCTCTGGAACTGAAAAAAAAAAAAAGCAACTATTAAAAAGCTTTCAAGAACTGAGACTGACAGAAGGCATAATATTAAAAAAAGAACACATGCCTTTCGGACTCTCTGGAATCACAAAAAGCTTGTATGAGCAATTGAGAAGTGTGAATGTCTGGTAAACAAAGAAACAGCACTGATGGAGAACCTCTGTAACAGGATAACATAAAGCAAGGCCAGTATGGATGGACTAGTACAAAAGGAAGCAGCACATGACAGAAACAGGTTATAGATAGATGTAGTCAAAGGTAAAGTGTGGTGTTTCCATCCACTTTACAGAATACACGTGTGGGACAAAAAACAAACAAGATGATCATGAATTGCTAGTGTAAAAATCAGCAAAAACACCCCAACCTTACAGAAGGATGAAATTTAATAGTACAAGCCTTCAACATTTGTGTGACAAAACCTTTTTTTTTTTTTTTGAGAAGGCCAGACTACCATAATAATGCAAATTGGCCACAGAGCTAAAAAATGGAGTTCATGAGAAGATGCATTTTAAGCTGTAGTTTGGAAACAATGTTTTACAATCAGCTGCCATGGTTAAAAAATTATGGGAAAACAAGGACTGTTATGACTTTTCTTCATGAGGAAATCATATTTAACAGATAATATCAGTTTTGAAAAACATTGCTCCAGGCCTACAATTTAAAGATCTTCAGTAAAGTGATAATCATGAGGTTTTTCACATTTACCAAAAGATAAAATATGATGCTATTTGACATCCTTGTAATTTTCTTTTGATATTACCGACTGGATAGCAGAGGACAGAGAATACTATTTCTCTGCCCACCACTGAATTCAACTGCACTCGTGTTTAATGACATAGAATAAAAATCCGGTATTTTGGAATATGGCATAAACTATCACTAATGTTAAAAAATATTAATATTTACAAACAAATAGTAACTATGCACTGGGTAATATACTCATTAATGCAGAAAATAATAATGCAATTAAATTAAGTAAGTGTGACTTGAAAGGGAAACATATTTATTCTAACAATACAAAGAAATGTGGGGAAGAATTGCACCATCTAAGTAATATATTCTTTAATTGCCTCATATTTCCTTTAGTTGGCACTGTAATGTAAATTTAACAACAATATTCTCATCCTGTTTCCATGAAGTAGCAGACATTTATTCTTTTGCATGATGAAAAATACCTAGCAAATATTATTACTCCTGAAAACTGCAGATAGATCACTGAACACACAGCAGAACAGAACCATGTTATGTTTTAACTGGTTCAGGTAACTGATCAGCTTCTCAGAAATAAATTTCAATCCAATATAAACTGTATTAGAAATAATCACACAAAGCAGTTTACCATCTTTGGCCTGTGGGATATGAGGTTTGGGTGAAGTTTTAGGCTTAGAAGGAATGCGTTGAGTCTCCTTCGGAGCTGGAAAAGAAAATGTAGATAGTAAGTTGGTTAAATTGCACAGCAATTAGTGTAGATAGCAAGTTGAACACACAAACACAGAAACCTCACACCTGCAACAGAGAAAAATGTCTCCTTATAGGAAGTAGGGAAGAAAGTCAGGTAATAGTCTCTGTGTGTAACAATCTAAGCAGAAGTGTGGAATTTTAGTAATTTTTGAAGCTCAGGTTTAATTTTTTTAAATACAAAGCTGGAACAAGCACAGACAAGCATAGTTATGAGAAAGGTGATTCAGAGCTGCCAACATCGTTTTCTTAAAAAAAAAAAAAAAAA